GGGGGGGGGGGGGGGGGGGGTACACATATTAAATGGAATGGCCCAATATACAATACATACATACATATTTACAAAGACATACAATATTATAATAAACCCAAACTCCATAAACTCACCAAGTCACCATGTATTAATTAGCCTAACTGTGTGGCATTCATCAACGACTATGAGGGACAGTTCGTTTCTGAATGGCGAGCTTTTATTCTTCAACAAGACAACAAATTCAGGAGACAAAGGCTCAAGGCTTCATTAGCAGACGCATACACAATTATCTGAAAATTGGTTTCCTTGATCCCACTATAAGAACGGCCGAGTTAATATTTCTAAAAGCGATCATCCTTAATGCAAAGTCGTTGGACCGTAACTGTTCATCAATAATGCTACGAAGAGGAACAATTTAAATTGAACAAACCCTTCGAATATCTTCAGCCAATAGGAAACTTTCCAAATCCCGTAGGAAGGACAGCTAGAACATCTCTACCTTCAAGTAGGCACTCTATTGCAAGCGTTTGTTTCTGTAAGCTTGTTGTAAGACTTTCAACTACATACGTATCAATTTTCGTTGCTTTCCGCTGCCAGATAGATATTAATTTCGGCAAATATCTGTTTACAGTATAAAGCCAGCTGAGTGATGGGTTTTAATGTTGTCAGAATATTTATTGTTTTTTAACCAATCAGAATTTCCCGTTGTCTGTGCAACGGGAAAATCAAACACGCTTGACAATTAGTTAAAGCGGCAATCCCTCTATTTTTCCTCTCGTCTCCGCCCCTTTTTGCCATTTTCCCGCGCGTTCAGCCTTAGTCTGGGAAACAATAAAACGAAGGAAAATAGAGGGATTGCTCGCAGTCTAGATTACCAACAACCGTGTAAAGCGATAATGGTTGAGTCATATCTACTAATCTACATACCAGTCTTCAGTATAAAGGCGGCGAGCTGCAATAATAATATATGTTATTGCGCCAAGAAAGATTCCAAGTTACCACCACACGATATCAGGAAATTGAGTTCCTCCTTTTGAGCTTTTGATAATAGCTACAATGCTGTTCAAATATTTAATAGGAATGGGATGTAGACTCGAAAGAAGCGGGCGACGTCTGACTTTAAGTTTAATTTATGTAAATCCAAAAGACCAAAATATTATTACTGACTGGAAAGTTTGGAAATTGCGCGTCGAAGATTTCGAAAATTCAATAGCAAATATATAGAAAGCATCAAAATTGCGCCCCCGATATCTGCACCGCGCGATACAAACTTTAAATATATAAAATTATGTACAAATTATCCACTTCCCTCGATTCTTGATAACATAACAGTGAAACGTCGTGATAACTTTTGGTGAATTCTTAATATACTACTTCTCCCAAAAATCCCAAAAGAAAAGACTCAACTGGACCAAATAGTCAATAGCGAACGTTTGCACCGCTATTCCATGGTCGCCATTTTGATTTTCATTTCGTAAGAATTATAATTAAAATGAGGTATTTGTTATTTTGTGACCTACCAAAGCCAAACCTAGAGTCGGTGGGCACCACAGGTGGCCCCACCGAATATAAACAGTCACTCATCATCAATAGGAAAAGTGTGCATGTTTTAGGCAAAACTTGAACACCAAAATCATCCATAAACAGTCAAAAAAATGTTTTACAATTTATTGTGTGAAACGATTATCCAAGGTTTCTTACTTGTTTTTTTTATATTTGCCTCCTTCACTCCTGGCAAGCAGTCATATTTTTTAGATTCGTGCTATGACCACCCATACAATTGATGAACTTCAAACTTCCCTAATGTTTTCCTTTTCCCGGGTGTAAATAGCCGAGCGGAATTAGTACCTCGCCCTGGGCTTAAGCCAGGGAAAGAGCTTCGCGTCGTTGGCTCGGGGACTATTATTATTATATACCCAAATTCATCCTATAATTGCCTTGTTTTAAATTTCCCAGGATGATTTGGCCCAACAACGTGAAAAGCGGAGATTAGAACGTGAAGAGAGACGAAAGCAGAGAGAAGCTGAGACCAATCAGGCTGAAGCTGACAGGCAAAAAGCCAGAGAGGAACGACGCAAGAAGAAAGACTCTGGTACGGTAATCTAAACCTTTGATTCTTCCTTTATTAGGGTATCCCAACGATATGTCATTATAGTGGCTGTTCAACAATTACCATTTGTCTCTTCTTAGTTCTCCTTTCTCATATTTTGCTCGAAATATTTAAATCGAAATTAATGAGCTGTCCGCCATCTTGGACTAATTCTTCACCTAATTAACTATAGTTTTAGTGACGTCAGAAGTTGGGTTAACCATATAAAACTACTCTAAAATGACCGAGTAACAATCCAAAATTGTTTGAAACGAAGTGTTCGAACCATGTCCCATATTGATCGCTTATCCTCAAGATAAGAAAATAGCGTGACCCTCCTTGACGTAACATGCATATCCTCAATAATCCAAGATGGGGAACAGCTCACTTTTTTCAGGGGAAATATTTTGAAAAGTAAGCAAGGTATGAACAATCTGTAATAGAGTTTAATATATAGTTTTAAGAGTTCATTCAAATGAATTAAGCTAAAAAATTTTATTGCCAATGGCATATATGACTTGCATATGACTGGCATATTTTATTGCCAATGGCATATATGACTATGCCAATGGCATATATGACTTTTTATTGCCAATGGCATATTTGGCTTTGGTAGGTCACAAAATAACAAATACGTCATTTTAATTATAATTCTTACAAAATGAAAATCAAAATGGCGACCATGGAATAGCGGTGCATTTGAAGGGCATATATGACTTGAAAATTGAGGGTGTTATTTTTTAGTCTAATTTCAAAGATCATTGAAAACTGTAGAGTAACTTCTTTGACAGATTTTTGTTTTCTTACTTCGTTTTGGAGATATTTCATTTTGTATGATATGCAAAGGACCAACTTTCTACGTCACCCATGCATAATGACTTACTTTAAAGTTTAAAATGTTGTATAATTTTGTCACTATCAAGTAAATTCGCTCAAAATGAATGATGAGCACGAGATTTCTCCACAATAACACCCATGTAGGTTTTCTACTGACTGTGTTTGGTCGTATTAAAGATATACAGCTTTTAGGGTTTAATCATTATGCATATGTGATGTAAGAAGTTGGTCCTTTTCATATCATAAAAATAAAAATGAAATATCTTGAAAACGAAGAAAGAAACAAAAATCTACCAAAGAAGTTACTCTACAGTTTTCAATGATCTTTCGAATTAGACTAAAAAATAACACCCTCAATTTTCGAGTCATATGGCCTTAAATTATGTAAACGTAATTGTTATTTAAAGCTCCCCCCCCCCCCTATGACCAAGCCAACCATGTAAAATCAACAAATAAGTGAGGGTTGCGCTTACTTGGCTATATTTACTAATAATGCATTGCATTTTAATGTTCAACATTGTTTAATACTTCTAGGAATATTGTAATAGTAGTATTATAAATGGGTAAAAAGTTTGCGCGCTTTTTTGCATTGCTCGTTCGAGTTACTGAGCACACTGTTGACGTATAATTGACTCATTATAACCAAATCATATATAAAAAGCAATGTTTTCATTAAAGTTTATTCTCGTGTTACCCTTAAAATTCGATAGAAAAGTTTGAGGAAAACACGTGCACATTTCTAAAATAGCAAAACTGGTGAATTGGATCCTGAGCACATTAAAATATGGCATAGTTTCCAGGATCGGTAATAGCTGTATGAGCATAAAACAACAAATTACTAGAATTTAAGAATTTTTCATGATCTCGAGTGCTGAATCTAGTCATTGGCACGCGGGCAGTTGGAAGAGCACGAGAAAACGTAAGAGTTGGTCGAGGCAAGACAAGCGTAAGTCGTCACGAAAATATTTCGTGCACTTAAATTGTATAAGACTCGCTACCAATCCCCGTTGACTCGATAGCTCAATGGATAGAGCGGCGGTCTAAATCCCCGAAGATGCGAGTTCAAATCACGCTCGAGCCAACGAATTTTTCGTTTCTCGATTGCAGTGTCAGAATAATATGAAACTGGTTTTTCGTATCTCTGAGGATGGTTCTGAAATAACCTGCGATCAGGCTCTATTTTACAAATAATAGCCTGACACAATCCTTAATCCGATTGCTTTTCCCCCTCAGAAAAGTTTATATTTAGTATCCAATCAAAATGTCGCAGGAGAAATTTAAATTTCACACAACGACAACAACAATCTAATTACAGTTGTGATCACTATAAATATATCAACGACAATATATAATGTAATTAGCACCAACCAATCAAATGACAGATTAAAAAATCTTTTGTCTCCTAAACCAATCAGATTTACAACCGAAATACGGTTGTAAAAGCATGGACTTTTGTTAAGATTTGTTTCAGGCCTATTTATTTATTTATAGGCCTGATCGCAGGTTAGTTCTGAAATAGAATTGAAACACTGCGCTAGCCTGATCGGACATTACTAGCCATGGAGATGGAGATAGAAAAGCTCAATATAATCGAAATTTTATTCAAATTTTGATAATTAAAGGCTTTGCTTTTGTTGGAAAAAAAGGACCAGACAGTTAAACCGTTGTAAGGGTATATATTTTTAATTTATTGCATTATTTGCCCGTTAATACAGTTATACACATTTTAAGTTCTTTGAATGTTTGCATGGCGATAAAATATAATTGTTTTTGTTTGTGGAAACACCACGTGAATTTATTACTGCAAAGCTTTCGATCCGTAAGCCCGGATCTTCATCAGTGCTAATAATATGTGACTTGTTTAATTCACACGCTCCTTTTATATACAAGAGTGTCGTGATCTGTTGGCTCGCGTCATTTGAAATTTAATTAAACGGCATATCAACCACGTCATTTCAAATGTAATGAAGTGATTCCAATTAACGCGCGCGCATCCAAGACAAGAGAAATTAATTTTGCACATTAAAGAGAGCACGCCACGTACTATCTAGTGGCTTTCCCTCCTGATCTATAGTATTGTGCTTCTCGATTTCAATTGACTCTCTCATTTTGCGAGAGAACTTGTGACATCAATCGGCAGAATGGTTGCTTCGTCCCATTTTATACGATGGTCGTAAGTCCAAGTATGTTTAGCCACAGCAGATTTATCTTGCTCGGCTTTCTCGCAATTCGTCTTGTGTTCCTTAAGACGTACTGAGAGATTTCGACCAGTTTCACCAATGTAAACCAGACCACATTCATAAGGAATGCGGTACACACCAGGTTTCTGATATTCATTTACGTTGTCCTTATGTGTGCAAAGAGCTCGAAACAATTTGTTTTCGCTAGAATGGTATACCTTTATACCTGCTTCATTCCTCAAAATTCTTTCGATTTTGTGTGAAGCCGGACCAATGTAAGGTAGACAAACAGACGACTGATATTCAATTTTCTGCTGTATACTTTGTGGCGTTTTCATAGCATTATCTATGAAATGCCGTGGGCAACCATTCATTTTTAGAACATTTCTTAAATGTTCTAATTCATCGTCAATGTTACTTACCTCACAAATTGTTTTCGCTCGGTTGATGAGTGTCTTGCACACAGAGTTTTTAATACTAGGATGATGAAATGAATTATAATGCAGATACCTGTCTGTATGTGTTGGTTTCCTATAAACCTTATGTCCTAGCGGCCCATCATCATGTATAGTGAAAAGAACATGTAAGAACGGTATAGTTTTATCATCCTTCTGTACTTCAAAAGTAAACTTGATCGATGGATGCAAACTATTAATGTGGTCTAGAAACTTTTGTAAATTATCTAGTCCATGAGACCAGCTACTCAATGTATCATCCACGTATCTGAACCAGAAACCTGGTTTCAACTTTGCAGTAGCTAAGGCCTTCTTTTCAAATTCCTCCATGAACAAATTAGGCATAACAGGCGACAATGGACTTCCCATTGGAGCGCCGTTTGTTTGTTCATAGAATTTCTCCCGCCATTGAAAACATGTCGTGGTCAAACATAGTTTCAACAAATCATGAACATTCTCAGGAGAAAGATTAGTTCTTCGAGATAATGTAATATCTGAAAGAAGTCTTTCTTTCTTTGTTTTCTTTCTTTCTTTCTTTCTTTTTTTCTTTTTTTTCTTTCTTTCTAAAGAATTTGTAACAAAAATGGAACAAATTAGATTGGGTAAGAATGACATTCTGGTAAGTTTTGACGTAGTTAGCTTGTTCACTAATGTTCCAGTTGAAGAGGCTTGTAATATCGCGAAAGAAAGACTTCTTTCAGATATTATACATTATCTCAAAGAACTAATCTTTCTCCTGAGAATGTTCATGATTTGTTGAAACTATGTTTGACCACGACATGTTTTCAATGGCGGGAGAAATTCTATGAACAAACAAACGTCGCTCCAATGGAAGTCCATTGTCGCCTGTTATGGCTAATTTGTTCATGGAGGAATTTGAAAACAAGGCCTTAGCTACTGCAAAGTTGAAACCAGGTTTCTGGTTCAGATACGTGGATGCTACATTGAGTAGCTGGTCTCATAGACTAGATAATTTACAAAAGTTTCTAGACCACATTAATAGTTTCCATCCATCGATCAAGTTTACTTTTGAAGTACAGAAGGATGATAAAACTATACCGTTCTTAGATGTTCTTTTCACTATACATGATGATGGGTCGATAGGACATAAGGTTTATAGGAAACCAACACATACAGACAGGTATCTGCATTCTAATTCATTTCATCATCTTAGTATTAAAAACTCCGTGTGCAAGACACTCGTCAACCGAGCGAAAACAATTTGTGAGGTAAGTAACATTGATGATGAATTAGAACATTTAAGAAATTATCTAAAAATGAATGGTTACCCACGGCATTTCATAGATAATGCTATGAAAACGCCACAAAGTATACAGCAGAAGATTGAATATCAGTCGTCTGTTTGTCTACCATACATTGGTCCGGCTTCACACAAAATCGAAAGAATTTTGAGGAATGAAGCAGGTATAAAGGTATACCATTCCAGCGAAAACAAATTGTTTCGAGCTCTTTGCACACATCAGGACAACGTAAATGAATCTCAGAAACCTGGTGTGTACCGCATTCCTTGTGAATGTGGTCTGGTTTACATTGGTGAAACTGGTCGAAATCTCTCAGTACGTCTTAAGGAACACAAGACGAATTGCGAGAAAGCCGAGCAAGATAAATCTGCTGTGGCTAAACATACTTGGACTTACGATCGTCGTATAAAATGGGACGAAGCAACGATTTTGGCGATTGATAGTCATAAGTTCTCTCGCAAAATGAGAGAGTCAATTGAAATCGAGAAGCACAATACTATAGATCAGGAGGGAAAGCCACTAGATAGTACGTGGCGTGCTCTCTTTAATATGCAAAATTAATTTCTCTTGTCTTGGATGCGCGCGCGTTAATTGGAATCACTTCACTACGTTTGAAATGACGTGGTTGATTCCGTTGTATATAAAAAGAGCGTGTGAATTAAACAAGTCACATATTATTAGCACTGATGAAGATCTGGGCTTACGGATCGAAAGCTTTGCAGTAATAAATTTACGTGGTGTTTCCACAAACAAAAACAATTATATTTTATCGCCATGCAAACATTCAAAGAACTTATTTTTCCGTTACAGTTCTGATTCTCAAAATACTGTTCTATACAAGACATCTGGTTTCATTCTTCTGTAAAAATATCAATGTACAAAATGTCTTTTCCACTTTTCAACAAACTGTATGGAGCCTCCTTTAACCAATTCTGGTAATATTTTACATTGTCGATGATCACTTTAAATCGTGAAGGGCATAAGTTCACTTTTGTAATGTATGTCTATGGTAATTGAAGAAGGGTTTTATAGATGGGAAATTGAGAGTGTGAATTTTATTCGTTTATTGCACCTGTAACCGTAAAATGCAACTATAGGCCCTTTGGTAGGAATGGAACCTGCGGCCCTGTGTTTGGACAGGTCTAATAAATGTATAAAATTCACACTCTCAATTTTCGTAAGTAAGGATTAAATCTTCTAGGATTACCCATATTGCACAGTTATACCTAAAAGTCCCTTCCTTGGCTAATATACAAGTAATGAATGTTTCTTCGTGCAATGGTAAGAATATTTTCATTCGGTGAAAGATGGAATGTTCCATTCAACGAGGCGACATGTTTTATATAATACCAAAATAGTTTAAATAGACTAATAGATTCGTATGAGAAGCATTTTGAGGGATGCGATTTATCGAAAACACAAAGAGTGCAATTGTACTATACGTTTTATTCCATTGCACTCGCGGAGAGTGCAATGGAACGTGTTCCATTGCACTCTTGGGAAATGGAATTTTCTATTCGATATCACGTGACCATAAACAGCCAATTAAACTATTAGAATTTATTAAGGTATTATATAAAACTGTCTGTACCAGTGTACAGTAGGTAGTACCAATGTGAAAATGCTGTGCTGAGTGGTTATATTACTACTTGAAATAAACAAGCAGAAACTCGAGGTAGTAATATAACCCTTCCTTGACTATACAGTACATTCCCGAAGTCTCCGGTTTAATGTTCTCCACGTAATTATGTGCAGAATTTTGTTGTAAAACAAAAAAAAAACACACACAAAAACAATCTGGTTCAAATTTTCCGATTCAACTAAAATAACATTATTTGAGCTTATTTAATTTCTGTGATATTTGATTTAATTTCTGTGCTATTTTATATTTATAGCACAGAATTTGGGCAGATTTAACCGCAGCAGGATTCGCTAAGTGGACTTTCCAAATGAAGTCAGATCATCAGCTGGAAAAGTTGTTTTCTGAGTGTGCCAACTGAGAATCGAACTCGTGATCTCAGGTTTCACGTACTAGCGCTGAGCTATTGAGATCGATATAAAATATTGAGATAATCATAAATACCATGCACACACCCAACGCGGGATATCTAATTCACTGATACGCTAAGCTGACATTAATCGTTATGAGAGGGAGTTGGTCAGGCATGAAATGAATATTGCTTGTGTGTGTGTGGATGATGCAATCGTGTAATAACGAATACTTGGCTTAACAGCCAAGGTGAGATACTTTCAGGAAACGTGTATTTTGAGAGTCTCAATCTGGCTATCCCAGTAGCTCAGTCGGTAGCGCTGCTACGTTTCTGAGACCTTGGGGTCCATTCCCGTTTTGATTCAGAAAACAATTTTTCGGCAGAAGATCTGACTCAATTTGGGAAGGCTACCCCAAGGATAGGCCTTAGAGTGACATAATCTTGAAATCTGATTGTTTTTCAGTATTTTAAAGACTATTTTGGAGCAAATGGAGAAATACCAAGAAAAACAGAAAAATTATGAACATGATGAGAATATCTTACTGAGTCGTGTCGTGCCAGAAGAACTACAGCTTAAGAAACATTATCAGGTTCAGAAAGTTTTATCACAATTTAGAAGATGATATAATAAAGTTATTTAACTCCCGTTTCGTATACATCAACATTGTTTTGCTTCATTAAAACTGAACATTAGGGTCAGACATTTTCCAGACGTTACTATAGCAACTTGTACGTGATGTAGATAAGCATTCATTGGTGTTTCGTGCATGCTATTGAGTGTAAAAGGGAAAAGCCATTATTGATTTATGGCAAGGGAATATGACCGAAGAGAAAATGGCTAAGCAAAGAAAGTTCTTCGTGAGGAGAGGTTTGGGTATAGCAGAATATGTTGTTGATCTTGATGTTTTTGTTGCCGTTGTTCTTGGTGTTGTTTATGTAAGATTGGCTGTTCTGATCAAACATGTATTTGCAGAGCGAATGTTAGCAGGACTTTGTAAGCCCAAAGTCTGTTGTTGTTGGTTGTTGTTGGTTGCTGTTGTCCTGCTGGAAAAGCATTGAGAACAGCTAACCAAGCTCACGTGACTGCCAACTCTCATGGACTCTCATCCTTGCATGCCATCAAGTTGGGCTGTCACTCTTCATATATATTCAACCTTTAGCTGCATGATTACCATTTACCACATGTCAAATCTTCCACAATTTCTAAAATGACTCAAACCTTTTTACCCCTATAGTGTGGACTTAAAAACCCCTTGCCCAAGGGGATGTTCCCTTGTTTTCACACATCTCATTAATATTCTCCCTTTTCCATTGCACCAGACAAGCAAAAGTTTTTAAACGAATGTTTTTGTTCCCGCTAATTCACAAAAATGACTTAAATGTTGCATGGAAATCCTGATGGAAATGGTTAATGAAACACAACTGGTTAATAAAACGCAACTGGCTACAGTAGGCGAATGGTAACTGTACATTCACAATGTAAAACAAAAATGATCATTGCAATCTGTGAATGGTGAAAAATTCATCAACTTGGTGATGCACAACACTGGGCTACAATATGCCTACACAGAGAGTGTTCATGAAACACTAGTACTCTTTTCCTGCTTAAGCTATATTGACCTAATGCCAGCTGTAGACAGTCGATATACTAATATATTGGATAAAACATGCACGAGTGAGTTTTTCAAAGAGAATAAAAAATAGCACGAGTCGGAAGGACGAGTGCAATTTTAGGCCTTTGAAAAACTCTCGAGTGCTTGTCTAATCCAAATTTGACGAGAAACCATACTATTACATATTAATAATATAGATAGAAATGTTCGAGACAATTGTAGTTTTAACTTACGTTTATAGCGAACCGTCCACTGACAAAGTTTTCCTGGTTTGTTATATCACATTATACTAAGCCAACGGCTTGAACATTTCACTCTATGTAAGTTTTATTAGTCTTGTTTAAAGGTAAAGGCTTTTCCATTTAAAAAGGTAAAAGTCACATTTTCCACCCCATACTCATCTTTTACTTTATGTAATGCTGCCGCCATGTTTGGTTTGTTTTGGAGCAATCTGTGGCCGTTACTTGAGCTGGAGTGCTCTAAGCTGATTGGTTCATTATAGATCCCGTTATTTTCCCATCAATCAGACCAATTTGTTAACTATTTTTGCACTGTTGTTACAGAATTTCCCACTGCTGTTTGAGATTAACTGCACTGAAATCAACCAATCACAGTCGAGTAACATTTTGTATGTATATTATACGATCTACTCTGCTGTATTATTTTATATTATTTTTTCCTTTCGGAATTTGAAGTCCGCGTCTTACCGCCCTCTCCGGTTTTTATCCCCATCTCTACGTTTCATATCCTCATCTCTGTGGTTTGTCGCTTATCTCCGGGTTTTATCTCCGTCTTTTATCGTTTTATCCGCTTCGCGTTTTATCCCCATGTCCGCTCCGTTTGTCCGCTCGTAATCCGTGTCCGCCTTTTATCATAACCCTTTTTTTTCGACCGTGCGAGTTCTCATGATTATGCAAAGGTATAGACTTTCCTCTATATGTATTTGTTTGCCACAATAATTATATCCAAACCAAGGCCAACACAAATTAACAACGTTATATAGGATTATTTTTTGGCAAATATTCAGAAAATAGCTATCATATTATAATAATTAAGACAAAGTCTTGATTAGCTTGTTTCGTGAGTGATGTGTAAATGCGGGCAATTTCATGGATGATTTCGTGTTTTGAATTTGCACTTGCGTCAACGCATGTTCTGAATTTAACATCCTAAACTCACAACTTGTATGAAGTTGGAAACATATTGTACTGCATGTAAATTTGTCAAACCATTAACTGCATCTCGTTAAACTGAAACTAAATCCCACATCTATGGTTGAAGTTTGTGCCATACAATATTTTACAGTGAAATTTCCATTTACCCAAGAATAATTATTACCAAATAATATATAACCGCGGGGAGGATAAACATTCCTTAAATACTACGCAACAAAAAACTTTAATATTTTCATTTGGAATGGGAAGATTTTTTTACATCGAATCTATATTTAAATGTACTTATTTCAAAAGACACAAAGGATACGTGCTCACTAAAGTAAATAGGGTAGATTTGATTTTCAAGTTAGAAATTTACAATATTTTTCGCATTGATAATAATTAAGAAGACCTCTTAATTATTATAGCGTTCATGCACCTTCTCGATTGTTAGACGGTTTTTAGAACTTACAGCAATCATACTGAAGCATATCTTGTGATTTTTGGTTTACTTTTCGCGTCGCAAATTTTAGAGTTAGAATTAGGTAAGACTTCTGATAAGCGCTAGCATTCAGCGGGAATATTAATTGGAATGGGTGCGGGTAGGCGTTGGAGGTTAATTTCGATATTTGCAGTTAAATTTTGAGTCGCATACAATATCGTGCAGTAAAACCTCCCAAACAGCAATTATTACAAAATGGTATAATTACATAAAGAATGAACATTCCTCAAATGTTTCCGAACAAACAATCTTTAACAGTTTCATTTGAAATGTGAAGTTCCTATCATATTATTTCTATGTTTACTGTATTCTGGACATTGTTTATTTGACAGCAAACAGGCATCAAGGTACATTTCAAGTTTAACTGTTTAAGGTTGCTTTTTCAATGGCGGATACGAAGGATAAGCGCAAAAGAAAGGTAAATAGAGGAGATAAATGATTTAATTTTCAAATTAAAACTGTATGTTTTTTTGCGCGTACAGGAAGAAGATATTCCATATTTCCTGTCTAAATATTCAGTCGCGAGCCATGCAAAGCGTTTTATTTTGAATGGTTAGACATTTGTTTCAAGTTCCTGTGACGAGAGCAGCAAATACAAATCTGATCTTTATGTTTGGTCTTTTTAAAATATTTTGATTGTTTGTAGTTTCGAACTTGTTTTAAAGGTTTTTGCAACCGTACGTACGTTTTATTGACACCTGACGAGTTCAGCTGACGTCGTTTGGGAAGTGCAATATTTTTCTCCCTTCTAACACCTTTTCAACTTGATCGGTCTGAACTATTAGAGTTGATTCATCTCGCATGTAGCTATATGTTCCGGGCGATAACTATAGGCGAGGGTACTAATTCCGCTCGGCTATTTACACCCGGGGAAATGAAAGCTTTAGCGAAGTCTAAAGTTTATCAATAATCGCGGTCACGTGACTATGATTCATGCAAAGCAATTTAACGGCAAAAACAGTTTAGTTTGAATAAAACATTTCAAAACATTTTACGAAGCGATTCAGGTTAAATTTAACATTAAATTAAAGCTCACAAAATGCAAAATAACATGTATACCCACAGTACATATTTTGGAAATTCATTGTTGTATAGTTAATTAAAAGCGCTAACCTTTCACACCTTTCAAATATTTTTGCTATTTTGTACAAAAATATAAAAAATAGGCACGCTAAGCGTACGTTATTTTACTGTTGTTGCTGTGCTTACTGTTGTTGTAGTGTTGTTATTAATGTAGTGGTTTTTGCATAATATGTATTAGTATAATTACATAGGTGATTATTGAAAATTCTCCACGCTGATTGGTTACCGTTGAGGTGATTATTACGCGATAATCACCTAAGCGATTTTCAAAATGGCGGCCGAAGCCGTTTTGTCAATTAAAAGACGAATAAATGTGCATTTTTAAATTTTTTTCCAAATAATCACCTATGAAATTATACTAAAACAATTATTCACCTCAGGCTCGGTGATTATCGGGAATAAAAACCTCGACTTCGTCTCGGTTTTTATTCACCGATAATCACCTCGCCTTCGGCGAATAATTGTTAAATATTAATTAAATAATATTGGACAGGAGTTTTCTTGACACACCACGAGTCTCTGATATGCCATTTCCTCAGGACTTTGGGGGAAGTTTTGACAGAATTCCGATGGTCAGAAAACAGAGTTTTAGTATGTCGAAATTTACAATTTGCTTACCGTTTAGTATAGAACCAGAGGTATAGAACTAAATGGGCGAAGGCGTATTTAATGAACTATATAATGGAGAAGTTGCAGGAAAGAGTATGGATAATATGATTCTTTGCGGTTTGTCATGGATAATGTAGCCGCTTAAAATTAATCAATTGTCAGTATTTTAAACTAGAAGTTACTATCGCAAGGAAAGTGCTGCCTCACCCGCAAGGGGTCAAAGGCAGCATGTACAATTTGCCTGAATAAGGGGCTGTTTATATGATCTCGCTTTGCCATTACTCTCATGATGTTTTTATATCATTATGTCAAACTAAAACCACCCCCAAATACATAAAGAATACATGAAGGAAACTAAGTAAGTTATACTTTATAATTTAAAGTAAATTTGTAATGCAAAATATAATGAAATTAAAAAATAAATAAATTTAATGCCCCACAGAGCCTGGCCACCTGTGGTTTTATATGAATACCTCCAATGTCTCCAATGCTTATAACTTCTTGCTTTTGAAGCTAGCCATAGCAACAAGTCGTGCTATGCAAGTTTTTATGATTTGTATAATTCAAATAGATGCAAGATTATCAGCATAGGCATAGCATAGAGGGCATAGCATGACAAGTTGCTATGATTAGCTTGCCACTGAATACTGTACAATATTATATATTTATATAGAGACTAATACATGGGTGCACGACAGCACGGAACACAAGAAATAAATCTGGTATTTCCAAGCATTCATGTATTTTTCTGTTTACTATATAAAGGACAGTCTTTGAAAAGCAATATAATTTTTTGCAGAAAAGTGATAATTGAAAAGTGATAATTTTCACATATGAGATTATCATAAATTATCTCACATGTGAGATTATCAGTTTTATCAGTGCTCGAAATCTCTATGAAGCACTATACTTTGTATAATAAATATACATCAACAATAATAATACTTGAATCCATTGGACATGTAAAATTTAATAACAATTTCATGTATAGAAATAGTATAATACAAAACTACGCCTATCACAGAACAACTGTCATTTTTGTTTAATTTAATACATCAGCTTCAGATGGCACCATTCATTTGTAATGATTAAGATTGTACTGACTCAGAACTTCAAAACTATATAATAAGAAAGAAATTGTACTTGAGCATTATTGAAAAAATATAGTATACCCTGAAATGTAGTGATACAGCCAGGTGAATATTATGAATTATTATGTAGCGGGCCGGTAGGATTACTCCTTATTATACTGACAATGGACATATCTCAGAGATATATTTTTACAAACCGTCATACCTTGTACAAAAGTCGGTTGACATGTTATTACATGTAACTGCTGGTAAGTTAATATGTGCAGGCGAATTTACTGGGGGGTTAGTACTGAGTATAACACCCTGAGCCTGAGGTGTTATAAAGTGTTCAACCCCACCAAAATTTCACGTCAGCCCTCCTACTTTGTGTGAAAGCCTTTAACCCTAACCCCTGCCAAAGCTCAGTGGTGCTGCTTGCACCCCACTAGAAAATGTTTGGCCACCCCTCCTTTTATAAAATGAAAATATGCCCTTGCAGACAACAATCCACACTGGATTGCTATAGGGATATCTTTATAATATTATTAAAGCCCTGCCACACAACATTCCACGTTTGTTTTTAAAACGTGCTGAAATGGCTGAAGCACATTGCTATAAACATGTAGAATAAACACTATAAACTCATCGCCTTTGGAAATCACCACACAAACAAATAAACTAAAAGTAGATTTTGACTACTTGATGATAATAAATTCATGCTGAATCTAAATTCATGAAATCATAGTGTTCTAAACATAAAGGCCTTCATGTATACAGTCGAACCCCTATAAGCGGACACCTCTCTTAAGCGGACACCTCCTTTAAGCGGACACATATCTCAGGTCCCATTCGATTTCTTTAATAAAATACTATTATCATAACCCCTATTAAGCGGACACCCCTCTTTAACGGACGCGGACACCTTTCTGGAGGTCCCAATGGGCAAATCAACCTCTCTTAAGCGGACAGATGACAGATTGTCTGATAAAATGTGTTCAATATTCGACAGTAAATAACAATTGAGATCAATTTACATGGCACATTGACAGTGACACATCAACTTGGCGCGAAGACATCAGAGCCAAGATTATTGAGGAAGTGACGAACGAGGACGGAGGACTGTGAGCCGCCAGCCATGATGATACTCAAATTACACACCTTTGCCTCCTGCTTTGTTTTTCTACTTACCCCTTTTAAGCGGACACCCCTTTTGGGCGGACACTTAGGCGAGGTCCCGAAGGTGTCCGCTTAATAGGGGTTCGACTGTATTACCAAAAAGAAAAAAAGCTACCCTTACCTGAATTATTGAAAATATTGTCCATGTTTTGCATCATGAAAATAAGCTCATAACTGTCCTTGAGAAGAACTTGATCCGTGTGCAATACAAAGTAAATTTTGACCGCCTCCCTCGTTTTAAAAAACTTCCTGAAGCCTTAATTATTTCCCCAGAATTACGACATCTTTACAGACAGACACAAAATCGAGATCTCGACAATACATAGCTCGAGCAAAGAGACTGGACACAAGTAAACACGATACTTCATGTTAAGAATAGTGTGCTGCCTTCGGCAGCAAATATATTATTTAAATGATAAAGGAGTACATGATTTTCTGCAGCCCCCAGCCCCGCCCCCGTTTCTACGGCTCTAAGAAGTAATAAACCGAAAAACATTTACGATTTGTTAAATGTTATTCATGTAAATGCCGTGATTTCCTAAATCAGTTTATACTGACAATACAATTTATAATATTTTCTCTGTTTAGACAACTAAAATTTTGTTATATACTATTATTGCCGTAATTTTCCGAATGGCCCGAACTCGATTTTCCCAATACGTTAATTCTAAAAAAGTTGGAGGCTCAACCCCACACACACACACACACCCCTCCCCCCACCCCAAATACCCCCTCGCTACGGCCTTGGTCATTACTCAGTTCTACTATCAGTCATGTTGTTTATCTTGCACGCTGTGTGGCTTGTAATTGGCAAGGAGTCGGTTCTATGGTTAATTTTAAGACTCGACTTGCCAATTATAAGTCCCATAGTCTGTGATTAATATGTCATATTTTTAAATCTTGAAGAGGCGCTGATTGGCTGTTGTACCGGAATCATGCACAACAGCCAATCAGCGCTTCTTCAAGATTTAAAAGATATGACATAATCAAAGACTATAGGTGACCCGAGAATAGTTTTGACAAAATTTTGCACAACCCCCGAAAAGAATTCGCTTCTTTAACATCCTTAGAATCAAGTTTTGAAGTTGAAACTTCGAGAGAATGTAGTAAAATTACTAGTGTTTGAAACATTGTTTTTGTTAGTAATTTGCAAAATATTGATACTCTAGTAAACGTTGCAATAACTTTCCGTTAAAAATCTTGCCAAACTTGCCGTAATAATAAACAAAGTAGCCGATGCACGACCGAGCCCAGGCGCGAGGCTAAAGATTTTCACCACGTCTTTTTGGGCTGCCTATTTATTTTCCAGATCATTTTGGCATAATCACATGCTTCAAAAATGTTCTTTTGACACGCAGCAACAATTAACGCACTGGCCAGCAACAATGACCAGATTTATGAAAAATATATATGATTGAAATGAGTCAAGAAGTCGGCGTATTTAAACTGCCGTTTGAATATAAGTCCTTGGTTCCACTATTAATTTGTATTTTAACGTATATTTTTCGAAATATAGGAGAATATATGTTGAGCTTTTGAAACTAAATATTTACCACTGATTTTCGATATTATATGTCGATTTTCGATATTATATGTCGATTTTCGATGACGATTTTCGATATTATATGTCAACTTGTTTTCATTCGCATTTAAGTCATTTGAGCTTGACACTAATCCATTGAAGTCAGTTCAGTTTATTTTTCTATCTTTAGTATCGATAGGGCGGGTTTTTCAACTTTTTGGATTATTTTTTGAGTTTGAAAATTGCTTTTACCCCTATATTTGGTTTGGCGCGAAACGTGAGAGGTCCGTAACGTGTGATACGAAACTCTCGTCAACCAATCAGAAGGCTCCATTTATGTTACCGATCGGAAAATTAAAAACATATTCTGCACGAAAGCATGAAGTAGGACATTTTTACACATGCATATGCATATTGACACTCTCAAAAAGATCCGATACCTATACGCAGGGATCTGAAAGCTGCTTACTTTTCCAGATCCCACATCAGGTTATAGAAACACGCTTCTCCACCAATCAACGTCGCCAACTCAGACTAGTCCCAGGCTCTCTCTCGCTACCATACAGTCTAAATGGAATAACTGGCTAAATATGACTCGTGTTTTTAATACTAGCATATAAAGGCATTGAATGCTGTTTACAATCTTGATAATTATGCTGAGTCTCGGACTAAAACTGTTTTGACAACACAGTCATGTTATGCGCAAATATTTGCAATCTCCTCAGCTACTTAAACGTGTCAAGTAGAAAGCATAGTTGTGTATGGTCTAGTGTAGATCACAACTTGCGAGTATATAAATAACATCAAGGATTATACGACAAAACTTTTTGAACATTTTACCAATGCCCAGTGTCATGAATTTGTATTTTTTATATTTTTTATAATTTCACTACAGTTTAAAATTTGGTTATATAGACATCGAATATGATCAACGAACGTTGTAAGTATTTATAAGGTTATTTGTATCCATCTATGAAATTACGTACTGAAATCTGCTAGGTGTTCTGAAGCACCATTAGTTGTGACGTCACACCTGGTCCCAGTCTCACATTACATCCAAGTTTTTCCTCGTGCTGCTTCAGAACGACTGGGACTAGGCTGTGGCCAATTGTTATATTAAATGGAATTTATAATATAACATTTGTAAATTCTGAACGCTGATTGGCTAAAAGCCGTGTTGATATAAGTCAATGTTAACACGGAAAATTTGTTTCTTCATACTATTATCTTTGTGCTATACTGTATTATTATACTTGTGGAAATTTGAAAAACTCTAAAATTGTGTGAAAACACAATTTATCATTTTCCCGTTTCCAATCGTGTTGATCTAACTGTATATCAACATGGAAAAAGTTTTATGTTTGTTAAAGATAAATAGGTTAAACGCTGTCCTTCTTTTCCAGGATGAAGAAGATGATAATGAAGAAAGTCAAACAAAAGGAAAAGGTCTAGTATGGAAAGGAAAAGGTGAATATAACGAGTCAAGAAGACAAACATATAATGAACTGCAGAGATATAACTTTTTCAAAATTACACAACGACGATATATTGAGCGAATGAAGCACCTTTGTTCATACAATATCAAAGTCATTGGCTTAATTCAATAGCTTTATCCTTTTAATTTTATTTTTGGCCTCATGGAGCTAGTGTAAATTTGGGCTCACGCTCTGCTTTCTCTTCCTCTCATATCGTTGTTTATTGTTTATTTTTTGTTTTTATTTACAGTTCCCTTACCGGTCGTGCACTGGGTTTCTTATGAGCATAATATACTTGGAAATTCCGTTCATCTTCCCGACGGTAAATTATTTTCTCAATATAAATTAACCATTTTTTCGCTAAAAATAGAATAATTGAAACATAAATATGGAGTGAATCTAATATCTGGGAATACATAATAATAATCTGGAACAAACGAGCAGGTTGGAAACAAAAACTAAAGTGGTTGGGCGTATACGATGTTCCGCAAATCGCAAAACTGCACAGAAAAATTTTAAAAATTGCATTACCGCAACGACGTTATTATTCAAAGCACCGAAACCGCAGTTACCAATACAAATTAAAGATGCTGTCATTAATCCTTTTGTTCACCATTTCTATAGAAATTAGACATGCGTATTGCGAAACGAATGTGATGCTTGGCTAACATGACGCGTGCAACGCGAGCCTGCGTTCATTGGTAGCCTAAATTATAATACTTCATGTAAAGAATGTATAGGCTGATGCATGCATATTTTTCTAGTAATATACCACGTAAAAAATGTTCGGGACTATAAAATAATTGTAGTTTTGACTTTCGTTGATACAGCGAGCCGACCGCTTAGAAAATTTTCCTGTTTGTATATAAAAATCACGTTATACAACGCTACTAACTGCTTCCAATCTCACTTAACTATGTAAGTTTTGTTAGTCTGTGTTAAGGTAAAGTCTTTTCCATTAAAAAACAACGTGGAAAGCAGTATTTTTCACCCGAACCGCCCAACGTTTACTTATGCGTCCGCCATGTTTGTGCATAGCGCGGCCGCGTATTTCGTATTTTGTACCAATATGTTTTTACGTACTGTAGGATTTGTTACAAGTCTTTCTCTTTCCATTCTCGGTCGAAGGGAAGCCGAGAGATTTGGCTAGGTGTACAGTACATATGGGCAACAACTATGTACACATAACTAGAAATAGATGCATGCAGCAACCTCTGGCCTTTATTTTGGAAACATTGATAACATGAGGTATATTAGTAATTGAACAACACTAAATGCAGGCTCGCGTTTGCGTCAAGGGTTACTATGGCAACCAGATCATTTGATATTGTCATGTTAATCCTTTTGATATTTTTTCACAAAACGGCAAACATAGTTGAAAGATTAGTACTTTTAATTAACTATACAACAATGAATTTCCGAAATATATCCTGTAAGTATATGTTATTTTTCATTTTGTGAGCTTTGTTTTAATGTAAAATTAATCTGAAACGCTTCGTAAAACGTTTTGAAATTTTCTTATCTTTCTCCTGACAAACAGTCATATTTTTAATATCATTAGTGTGGACTCATCATGAAACCTTGAATTATAACCACGCGCCCCTGATTATTGTTTAACTTTACTTTTAAACTTCGCAATTGACCATTTGCGTAATAGACTAAATTTTGATCTCAACAAAAATTTCATTACAGCTTGAAGAGCATCACAAAATTTGCAATATTCCAAAGTTTCGTTGCAAAATGTTGTAAAGTGCGGAAAATATAGCCTTGCGAAATTTGCAATTTTCAGTCATTTTAGATTACAAACCGGAAATTGACAGCCTCGAAGGGTTTGGGGCTGTCAATTTCCCGTTTGTAATCTAAAATGACTGAAAATTGCAAATTTCGCAAGGCTATATTTTCCGAATTTTACAACATATTGCAACGAAATTTTGGAATATTACTAATTTTGTGATGCTCCTTCAAGCTGTGATGAAATATTTGTCTAGACTTGTTTAGTTCAAAATTTAGTCTATTACGCAAATGGTCAATTGGATCGGGAATTATAGGCAATGGATTTTTTTGCGCGCTCATATTAAGTAATGAAATTATGTTCTTTGTTGACTGATATAGTTCCTGGTGGAAACAATCTTACTCTGCCAAATGGAGTACATTTGTCATTTGGTAATATCATCGCCATGGCAGGAGATTACTATGGTATACCAAATGCGCCCATAATAGATCCATTGAATCCGGAGAAGATTGATGATGGGGCTCTTCAAAGATTCAAGAATGCTTACAACACTTTGGCGTTTACTCCAAATGAGGGAAAATACAAGGTTTGATTTTGACGGTAAAATTTAGAGCCACAAACCTGTATCTATTGTGCAGCTTGGACGGCATGGAGCTCAAGTTATGTTATTTTTTACGATTTGGCGTGCTTGGTCGAGTTATTGAGCACGCGGGAAGTTGGGACGAGAAAGTGCAAGCTTGAGTGATCTCCCAAGCGCACGAGAACTGGATGGAGTATCATGAAAAAATATTTTATAGTATAAAATTTATTCAAAAATAAGTTTTCTATTCCTGGTGAGATTATATTTTCTCTTAACGCAAGCCAAATATCAAAACGTTCCTGAATACTGAGAAGTTTGTTGAGCAGTAGGCGTTAATGGGTGTCTATTAGCGATAATAGAGAGGCTTAGCAAAGACGACGCGACGTCAAACGTGAAAATGGCGTAAAAATGGCGTGGGCATATCACGCCATTTTCACGTCTCTTTGACGTCGCGTCGTCTTTGATAAACCTCTCTAATGTAAACCTCACTTCCATTGTGGTCGTTTGAACAATCTGACCCCATAGAAATATTAGATGAATATGTCTATTATTTCTATGCTCTGGCCCCATTACACTCTGCGCATGTCTAGATGCGTTAATGTCATCGTGTTGTGCCACATGTTTTGGTGAGAGCAAGCTCATGTGATATAAATTCGAATGTCTCACGTATACCAAGCTGCCAGTATAACGTGTACCAAGGGGGTTGTAGCGCCCAATTATTAGGGAATGGGGGTTGTAGCGCCAATTATTTTTAATTTGGCAAATTCTAGGATATGCTGCTTAAAAATCCGACATATGAACAACGGGAAGCGCTACATGCAGTTTTTAAATCATCGCAAATTTTGTGCTACAAATTAATTTCTCATTGTCGACGATAATTTACCCATCGTAGCAAGTGGAAAGAATTGATTTTGGTGTTTTAGGTGCATATGAAGAAATAAACAGATCTTCTTTTAGCAACATAATTATTTTTGAAGGAGCGACTAGACAAACTGCTAAAATTGCTGGCTGACGACGACAAGAACGCAAAGAAAGCAGGAAACTGTTTCCACAGCAATAAAGAATGGGATGAGGCTACAGGTGGCGTATGGGTAGCTGGAATACCAATCATTCCAGGCTTTATGATAAAACTTGCTGAACATAATTATGATCATTTTGAGCCTCAGGCCAAAACAACCTACGTTGTTGGACATGGATACGCAATTGAGAAAGCTCGTGAAGCAGGTATGTAAGGTGCATTACACTGTAACGGTTTTAGTAACGAGTGTGCGGAATACTTTCTTAATTTAGTTAAAACTGTTTTAAGACGCTTTATTTTATTTTTTATCAGGTCGAAGTAAAGAAAATAATCGAGAAAAGCTGCTATTTGAGGCTTACTCGATTGACGGGTTTGCTTGTCACTTTCTCACTGATGCATTTGCCACTGGACATATGAGGTACGATATTGCAGCTTCAACAACAAAGACATAAAGTAGAAACTCAACAACAACAACAACAACAACGACAACGACAACGACAACGACAACGACAACGACAACGACAAACTGATAATTGATTTGGTACTAATCAAATATGTAAGCTTGCAATGAGCATTACTCCTATATTTTTATTTACAATTATGGCATTAATGTGAAAATTGACTTCGCAAATCATTGGAAAACAAAACAAATAACCATGCTCTATTTCTGAAGGAAAAGCCGCCATCTTTATCTCATTCTGCAAAGTAAATAAATTATGTTTCTTCTTTTCGTTTTTAATGCTCTCCTTCACTGTAGAACACCAAGAGTTGCCTTACCTAAGAACGTCACGCCAGCCGTCATAGGAGATCTTCTATGTAAATACATGCATGATGAAGACAGCAAGTTTGGCATTCGTGTTACCAACGTCCGTGGGGACACATTGGTTGGTTATGGAGATGGAAGGCTCATGGAGGAAGGCGACAAGGTAATCATACTCTGCGATTCTAATTTTATATGTAAAGTCAATGTAACACGAGGCGTTTATACTAGTAGGCTGCAAAAACAAGTGCAATTATCATAATTTCTGAAGAGACCTTAATCGCAATATGCAAAAATATAAAAAATAGGTACGCATTGAGTACCTGTGGTTAGCCTACAGGATTGGCAATTGTTATGATGTATATACGTATAGCTAATTTCGTACAAAATAAATAAATTAATTGCTTTTTTGCGATCGAGGCTATCTTGATTGATTTTTCGACCGTTGACCACTAAATGTTTTAGTTTTCATTCTTTGCCGTGTGAAGCCAGATACCGTATAAACTGTCCATAATACGATGCTTGTGATGTTCCCTGAGTGTATATCTACACTGGGCATGCAGGCTTGAAAAATATGCCTGGCAACGGTGGGAATCTTATTCACCTGAGTACATTCCACCAACATAGCAAATATTATCCATAATACAGCAACATTTTTTTAAGATAGGTTACCGATTAAAATAATGAGTAAAATGCAATTCAAAGTTGTAAAAAAACCCTCGTGTAACTCGCAAAATTTCTTTATACAAAAGCGTCGGTGACTAGTGAAAGATTGTACGGGGGCGCAGAACGAGCTTTCATCAAACAAAATCGAGTGACAATGTTGTTTTTACTGTTTCGTTTTTGTCAACTTTTGGATTTATTTGAGTGCCATGGAAAATTCTCAAGGAATAAATTGATGAAAGCACAAAACCTCTAAGGTTGAAGTTAATTGAACCTGCCGTTTACTCAATCCATGAGCTATAACAACCTAACAGGTGGAAGTGTTTTTGTTTGGTTTTGCACTTTTGCTGAAAATGAACAAGGTTATGAAACTGTGATATTTTTTCTGTTTATATGTAATCACTTTATCCTGTAGAAACACGAAAGTATTTCTGAACGACTTTTTAAACGTTTATCAAACGTTTGTGTACATTTTAGCAAATTTGTTATAGTTGACAGTTTATTAAACAATGAAAAACATTGTTTTTTGGTCTAGATCATATGCAAAATTGCTGTATGGTTACGCAATTGATTTGGCACTCAAAATGAAGGATTATTCAACGCTTTTTTTCATTAGGAACCTTTTAGAAATAGCTTAAAAAAGCACATCCCACATGCTACTGTATAGGCCGGGAGCTTCACAATTTCATAAACCAACGGCTCTTTCGTATGCCTTTAACAACAATATTCCGTATTTCATATGCCTTTAACTACAATATTACAATATTCAATACACTTTTATGGTTTTCTACATAGTGGTTCGCTGCGCATGCGCAGTCTAACCACAAAATGGTGCATCTTAGTTTTGCGAGATGCAAATTGTTAATTGAATTAGAATGACAACTCCATTTCGTAATAGATTCATACTCCAAAAACTATGAGGCAAGTCGCAAAGGGTATATTAGCTACTACAACGGTGTCTCTCCATAGTGATTAACTGGTTCAAATTTTCCTGGGGTTTTTTAGGCAATTTTTCATTGCTATTTCAGTTAGAAAGAAACCCTAATAATGATAAATTATATATGATGAATTACCATTATAATATTAGGTAAAGTAATGGTAATTTTCTTTAGAAAACAGATTTCCAAGATAACAAATAATACTGAAATAGGAAACTGAATTATATATCTGCGTTTTTGGTTATTTTAGGAATATTTCAATCTTGTTGTGGAAGCTGTACAGAATTCAGTCAACCAAGTACACCAAGCATACAAAGATTCCAATTTGAAACTGGATTCACGTGCAGTCACTGATCTCATACCATTTGTGGATAGAAAGAAGAAGAACAACACACCGTTGTTTGAAGTTAAAAATGGTGAGATACATCGCAGGTCAGACATCAACGATCTTCAAGATAAGAAAACCATTACCAACTGGTGGGGATCTTCCACTGCTTTGAAACTACGATTGTATAAACCACATAATTCTGCAATATAAGATCTCGTAATTTAGGTTTATTTATTACAATTAATGTTGTCTCTGTCTTGCAAATTTTTCAATCGACGTTTCCGTAAAGGTACTATTGACATTCATTAGCCAAAATGTTGACTGTAAATATCAAGATTTTGGTAAATTATGTAATAATTTAAGTAAATATCAAGATTTTTGAATTTTAGTAAATTTCAAGATTTTGTTGACATGTCACTCGAATGAACAATATTTTATGAAGGGTATCGAGGATAGAAATTGTACTATCGGGGGGAAATTTGTGTACATTTATTAGTTCCGACCAGGAACAGAAACGAAAAATGCAAACTTTAGGTCTCTGACAGGAATCGAACCTGCGACCGTGCGATTCTGATGCAGGGCTGTAACCAACTGGCTGCATGGAGAGGCCAGTTGTCGAGATCTAACCACAAATGCATATATATACTGTATATGGCAGTACTTTAGTATATATACTTCAACTTGTGGTCAGAACTCGCCTTTGTAGCCCAGTTGGTTAGACCGCTGTACCGACATTTCTGGTCCGCAGGTTCGATTCAGCATTTAACATCCTAAAATCACAACTTGTATGAAGTTGGAAACATATTTTATAAAATAACATGTATATAACGCGTGCTCTGATTGGTCGAAACCCGTGTTTGGATCAGGCCATCCAAACACGGAAAATTAAAGTGAAAGTTTTTTAGTGAAATTTTAACACGAAAAGTTGTTATTTTATAAAACAGCCATCCAAACACAGATCAGGCAATCCAAACACAGAAATCATAAAGTAATTGTATACTACTGCATGTAAATCTGTCAAACCATCAACTGCATTTCGTTAAACTAAGTGAGACTAAATACCATATCTACAATTGAATTTGTGCCATACAATATTTTACAGTAAAATTAAATATCCAATTACCCAAGAGTAATTATTACCAAATAATATATAACCACAGGGAGGATGAGCATTTCTTAAATCACTACGCAACAAAAAAACTTTAATATTTTCATTTGGAATGGGAAGATTTTGTCACATCGAGTATATATTTAGATGTACTTATTTCAAAATGGAGATACAAAGTCGAAGGATAATTAAGTGCTCACTAATGTAAATAGAGTAGATTTGATTTTCGAGTTCGAACCATATTTTTCGCATTTAAGAAGACATCTTATATTCCTCTCCATACAATTATTTTTTGACGTTGCAAGCGTTCACCTTCTTGATTGCATGTCAGATGATTTTGGTTTCCAAATGGTCGTAACGGTCGTAAAGATTGAGTTTTATAAACAGCTGGAATATAAAGACATTTTAGAACTGAAAATACCATGCGCGGCGTGATTATAACTAGAGAATACCTATGATTTATATGTGGTTTACAGGTATAAACTATTATAAACTAGCCGTTGAGGAAAATCATGACTGCATTTTTACGACCACTAGGGCGATATGGAAACCAGCGGTTTAACAGTAACAATACTGAAGCATATCTTGTGAATTTTGGGTTACTTTTCGCGTCACAAGTTTTAGACTTAGAATTAAGTATACTAAGGGGTCTCCTTTAGATAAGCGCTAGCAATCAGCGGGAATTGATTAAATTGGAATGGGTGCGGGTAGGTGTTGGGGATTGGGATGCGAGCGAAAAGTCTATATATTAGGCTTCATGGGTCATGATGCATATTTGACGTTGCATTGATCTCATAATAAGGCGGATTGTTTGGGAATAATTGAAATAGATTTTGGAAACACATAAGAAAATTTAAAAAAACGGTGAAGCATTTGTTCGCTTATATTTCAAATGATAATATAGCATTTGTAGTACATTCTGAACGCTGATTGGCTAAGAGCCGTGTTGACATAATTAACTCAATGTCAACACCGAAAATGTATTTCTTTATACGGTTCAATCATGTGGCTGGATTGCGGGTCTGTTCTCTCTAATCGAGTTGAAAAAATTCAAAATAAATCTATGAGAACAATATTGAGTGCTGATAGAAACAACCTGTGCGCACGAAATGCGGACTCGTCTTGGCCTCTTAACTCTACACAGCAGACGACGATTTCTAAGGAACATTCTAGTTTTTAAAATTGTCAATAATATGGACATTCCTAATTATCTCCGCGATCAAACCTTGATAGACATACCAAGAGTAAACACCTTACCAGGGTAAACTAAGTTTAAAGTTGCTGCAGCACGTGACTGGAACTTGCTACAGATATGTACTAGAGATTATTAGAGATATTAAAGTTCTCGGTAGCTATAAGAACAATATTTTTTGGACATTTTTTTAGAATTAGACAATTCTACACATAGGTGTAGTTTCTAATTTTTGCAGATTATTGTAATATTATATGTAAGTATTCCATAACTGTAAATACTGTTCACCCGGGTTTAAATAAAGATTATTGTTATTATTATTATTATTATTATTATTATTATTATTAGTTCGATACATCAATAACTCCCTTCCAACGCGCCAAAACCTTGCAAGATGGGGTTTATCACCGACTTCAGACTGTTCGCGATGTCTAGCTCCGATCCTGAAACACTTCTGCACGTAGTAGCTGGTTGCCAATCGTATCTAGAACGATTCACGTGGAGACATGACTCCGTTCTAAACTTTCTCGCAACAAGCCTGCAGACCGTAAGCGGCTCACATCTTTACGTGGATCTCCCAGGGTACAAAAGTCCATCAATCATCACTGGTGACACCTACCGTCCAGATTTGCTTCTTTCAACCTCAATATGAACACTCTATATTGTTGAACTTACAGTTGGCTTCGAATCAAATCTTCAAAAAAACGTTGAGCGTAAAAAATCAAAATATAAAGAAGTAATTAGGGAACAAAATGAACATTTCAACTCAGTAAAATTTGTAAATCTTTCGATTAGTTCTCTTGGTGTTTTCAGTAAAGAATGTTCTACTTTCATAGAAATGCTTAATGATTTTGGTTTTCAAAAGCAACATCAGAATTACTGTATTAGAAGAATGACGACGATTGCAATCCGAACAACGTATTATATATTTTGTTGTCGAAACAAGGAATGGATGAATCCGGAACTGTTAAGTGTTTAAACGTTGTAATGTCATTTTGTTATCTTAATAGTATAATTTTTGTATATATAATCAGTGATTTAAGTAGCCAGTTGTAAATTACTTTAAATAAGTGAGATTTGCAATTGCATATATAAGCTAAACATCCATTTAATAAAGTTTTCATTATTATTATTATTATTATTAGTTTAAACGAATGCAAATTACATGTTGATCTTCCTGGATTTGAAAGCCCCTCGATTATTGCGGGAGATGAATATCGTCCTGATTTTTACTTGTCTCCACTTCAAACAAACACCTCTACGTTGTTGAACTTACCATAGGCTTTGAATCAAACCTCACAAACAATGTTAACCACAAGAAAGCTAAATATAAAAACCTAATTAGAGAGCTGGATCAGAACTTTACATCTGTTAAATTTATAAATCTTTCTGTCAGTTCGCTAGGGGTGTTTGACAAAGAATGTCATACATTCGTGAAAATGCTAAATGAGTTAGGACTGGATAATCAACACCAACAATATTGTATCAGAAAAATTATATCCATTGCCATCCGATCAACGTACTACATATTTTGCTGTAGAAATAAAGAATGGACAAATCCCGAACTAATGAACATTTAAAGTAACTATTTCTATAAATAAGTAGCAATTTTTGTATATAAAATTATAGGTTACCTCAAGAAGTGAGATTTACAATTGTACTATAAATGTTCTATTAATAAAGTTTTCATTATTCTTATTATTCTTATTATTCTTATTATTCTTATTATTCTTATTATTCTTATTATTCTTATTATTCTTATTATTATTATTATTATTATTATTATTATTATTATTATTATTATTATTATTATTATTAGTATTATTATTATTATTATACCTTGCAAACTGTGAACGGTTCTGCCCTCTACGCTAGCTGATGTGCCTGGATTCAAAAGTCCTTCATAATAACTGGTGATACGTATCGCCCGGATTTGTTGCTATCGTTATCATATGGCTCTCTTTATGCGGCCGAGCTCACTGTTGGCTATGAGACAAACCTCGAGAACAACGTTAATCGGAAATTATTATTATTATTATTATTACAATTACATAGAACATAACATCCAGAAAGGTTTTACTCCTAACGTTGCAGGAACTCTTGAACACACTGCTCATATGGCGCATATAATCAACACAGCCCGTATAAAACAAAAATCTGTTGTAATTACTTTGCTTGATCTTAAGAATGCTTTCGGTGAACTCCATCATAATCTCATTCACGAAGTCGTTCAGTATCATCACATCCCAGGTCAAATACACAACCTAATACGAAGTCTTTATACAAACTCCCAAACATCCATCATAACAGAACAGTTCAGTACTCCTTTTATCACAATCGCACGTGGCGTTTTACAAGGTGACTGTCTCAGTCCTCTCTTATTCAATATGTCCTTTAAGACATTCGTTCAGCACATGAAATCTGAGAAATACGCCCAGCTTGGCTTTTGGAAATTGAATAAAACTGGTATTCCGTGCAACCCTATCCATTGGTTTCGATTCGCCGACGACGCGGCTATCATCAGCAGCCAAGAAAACGAAAATCAAATTCTGCTCAATCGTTTCACAGTATGGTGTCAATGGGCCCGAATATGTATGTGTTGACAAGTGATCTTCATTTGGAATTAAAAAACGATCATCTATAAGTCTATATATCCAGTACCAACCTAAGCTGTTCGTTAATAACCAACTTATATCCCGTATCGAACTGGGAGAATCTTTCCGCTATCTTGGTCGTTGTTTCGATTTCAACACGTCCGATGAAAGACACAAATCCGAATTGTGTGATCTGTTTAATTATATTATATCAAAAATAGATAAATTACCTTTACACCCCCGAAACAAAATTCTTCTATATAGTCGTTACTTACTCTCAAAAATCTCATGGAACTTAACAATAACCGATACATCTAAAACCTGGATTTGCAAAACTTTAGATAACGTTGCTACTAAATATATTCGAAAATGGCAGGAACTTACAATATCTGCAACCTTTATCAATGTGTATCTTCCCCAAAACAAATTTGGTTTGAATATCATTTTGTCTTCGACGAAATTTATACAATGCCAAACAGTTTCTCATTCAACTTTAAAAGCGTCTATAAACGAAGACATCAACAAATTATGGTCAATAACAAGCACGAACAAGAATATTCAGTATGATATATATAAAAATACGAAGGATGTCTTGAAAGTCTTTAGGAACGAAAGTGAACAGAGACTACAAAACCACCTTATCTCACAAGGTTCTTTCTTCTCAAGTATCATAAAAAACTCCACGTCATCATTCAATTCCTTATGGTTATCCGTTCAATCCAGACTTCCTAAGAATATATTTAATTTCACTGTCCGTTATATCAACAACTCCCTCCCTACTCGGAAAAACCTGGTCAAATGGAGTCTGTCATCGTCTGCTGATTGTTCCTTTTGCTCCTCTTCTGAGTCACTCCTGCATGTTATCTCTGGTTGTAAAGCATATCTAGATGAAGGGCGATTTACGTGGCGGCATAATTCAGTTCTGAACTTCATTGCATCCAGCCTTATGAGTGCCGAACGATCCAAACTCTTCGTGGATTTGCCTGCCTTTATTACTCCGTCAGTTATCATCACTGGTGATCAGTTACGTCCAGACCTCCTCTTGGCAATTGAAAATAAAGTTTTATATGTTTTGGAACTGACTGTTGGCTTTGAAACAAATCTTAACTCTAACTCAGATCGAAAACATAAAAAATACTTGCCGCTTATTTCAGATCAAGAAAGTAACTATGATATAAGGTAAAATTTTTAAATGTATATCCATAAGCACGCTGGGTGTTTTTGGTCAATCGACGAACACCTTAACTGATATGCTCAAGGAAATGAAGTTCGATGAACAACAAATGAAATACATTAAAAAGAAAATCATTGCTACTTGTCTTCGCGCATCATATTATGTATTCTGTCAACGAAACAAAGTCTGGACTAGCCCAGAGCTTTTAGAATTTTGAACGATATTAAATTCCTTAGTTTTGTAAATTTATATAATCCAAATATTTTTCAAGTAGTCATCGATAAAATACCTTTATGAGCGAGGTTTATCAATGTAAATATAGTTTTATGGTATATTATGAAATAAATAAAGTTTCCATTATTATTATTATTATTATTATTATTATTATTATTATTATTATTATTATTATTATTATTATAATTACTTTAAAAACATTTGGACTAATTACTTTAAAAACATTTGGATGAACGCATGTCCATCTCATAGCACTAATTACTTTAAAAACATTTGGATGAACGCATGTCCATCTCATGTTTTTTCCCTACCAAATTGGTTACCGAGACTTTCAGCACCTGTACACGAATTTAATTCTACACCTCCAACTTATGCTAAAATTACGGCTATCATCAAAAGAATGAAAACAGGTAGCTCTGCGTGCCCGCTTGATCAGCTCTCAATTATTCCCTTTAAAAAATCTCCATACCTTAGATCTTACTTGACAACAATCATTCAAACGGTATGGAAATCGGGCCAAATTCCTGACACTTGGAGAAGAGCTGCATCAATTCTTATTCACAAAAAAGAATCAACTGACGATCCTCAAAACTTTAGACCAATTACCCTGCAATCAGTGCCTCTCAAAATTTTTACATCAACAATACGGAATGCCATGTATGAGTTTCTATCAAAAAACAATTATATTGAAAATAGGATTCAAAAAGGATTTACTCCGGGAATGTCCGGCACGTTTGAACATACGGCCCATTTAGCGTACTTAATTAGACGAGCGAAAAAACAACAAAGATCTCTAACAATAGCACTACTTGACTTAAGAAATGCATTCGGCGAAGTCCACCATAAGCTGATTCAAACAGTACTAAAATATCATCAAATCCCCGAGCATTTTCAAAATTGTATTGCAAACCTCTATACTGACTTCCGTACCGTAGTGGTTACGGAAAAATATCTAACACCGTTCCTTAAAGTGAGTAAAGGAGTGCTACAAGGAGATTGTTTGAGCCCGTTGTTGTTCAACATGGTAATGAATACGTTTATTCAATACATTAAAACGGATCAGTTTTGTCAACTCGGATTTAATGCTGGGCAGCCGTTTCTAACCCCCAAACATTGGTTTCAATTTGCCGATGACGCGGTGATAACAACAGGTGAGGAGTACGAGACACAAATATTACTGAATGCATTCACCATGTGGTGTAATT